GCCGCCAATCATGAACTCTGACCCAGCAATACTTGACTACAAGTCTATGGCAATACCAAGTCCTAAGGCCATAACGGGATCTCACCAGCAGACGTCTAACAACTATCGAAATGGCACCAACTACAGCGGTGACCATTACATGGGCTCGCCGCCCGAGTGTAAAAATTCCACTACGAACTACGCAAGTTACCCCGGCACGCAGTCGTCGCCGCGCAATGGCGCCACAAGATTCCCCTTCGAGTTCACGGGTATGGAGACAAACGCTGGTTACACGAGCGAACCCGCCACCAATAATTCTACCTACCAGGATCAGTCCGCGAATCAGGGGACACGGGAAACTGGTATAATTGAGAAGTTATTGGTGAGTACCGCTATGTGGCAAACATGATTTGTCCGCAACGGCCAAGTAGGCGAGCGACTAACTTACACATTGTCTTGTTCTCTGTTTCCGGCAGCATTCTTACGGATTCATACAGTGCTGTGAGAGACAGGCGAGGTTGTTTTTTCATTTTAGCCAATTTACCGGTAATATTGAGCACTTGAAGATTGGAGATCCGGTAGAGTTTGAAATGACTTACGATCGACGAACAGGCAAGCCCATTGCGAGCAGCGTTAGCAAAATCGCCCCGGTGGTTAGTAAAACGGCGATAGCGACGATAACAATTGTGTGGGGGGGTGTAGAAGGGAGAGTCGCAACAAGTAAAATGTGCGGTTGTAACTTGTTCTAGGCATTGGGCGATCAACGATGCATCGGTAACGTGACAACGGAGTTACAGGCGAGTGGCGATTCCCAGGGACGTATCAGTTACGAGAACCGTGGTGAATGTTTTTTTCTGCCATATACCAAAGATGATGTTGAGGGAAATGTCACCCTACGCGCTGGTGATAAAGTGTCATTTCAAATCGCTACTAATCAACGGTAATAATTGCCGCGACGTTTGTCGATATGTTGCTACTTACACAGGGAATACCTGTGTAAGTAGCAACTCCGCCTTTTCTTACGTACGCGAAACACGTTGCAGAGGAAACCTGGGTGCGTGTAACGTGAGGCTGGAGAATCCGGCGCATCCGGTTCGTTATCGCGGAGTGGTATGCTCAATGAAAGAGAATTTTGGTTTTATCGAGCGTGCTGATGTAGTCAAAGAGATATTCTTCCACTTTAGCGAGGCTAAATCTATGAAAGAAGAACTTAGGCTAGGAGATGATGTGGAGTTTATAATACAGACGCGCAATGTAAGTAAGATAAAAGCTGTGTACGTGCGTTCCCTGAAAGGGGTACGTTTGTATATGAAGCGTTTAGTTTAAGCGACAGAGAATTTGAGGTCTAATGTGCTTTCTGCTTTCCGCGCAGGGGAAGGAGGTAGCCTGCAACATTACAAAGTTACCACCTGGCTCAATTGTATTTGAGGAGGTCAGCAATGAGGTCGTGAAGGGGCAAGTGTTGAAACCTTTGGAGAGAGGCAATGCTGCTCGTCATCAAAACGATCCATTACCTGGTCGTATCCGATACAGAGACAGTGATCATTCTGAAGTTGAAGTACCCTTTGGTGATAAAGATCAAAAGGGCGACTTTACTCTTAGGTAATCTATACGAATTGATGAAAACTTCTCCTCTTTTCTATATCCATTCTTGCGTATGTAAATGTATGATTTAACGAAATGCAAAATCTTTCTTCAACTAATGCAGTTATGATAAGTTGCAACTTGATTTCTTTGACAGACACGGGGACTGGGTCCAATTTCGTATTGCAACAGATACTAGAGATCAGCTCAAAAGAGCTACAGAGATAATGTTGTTACCGGAATCTTTCACTGTGTCTGGGGAACGACGGGAGCAAGGTGTAATACAATCTCTCAAGGATGGATTTGGCTTTATTCGTTGTGTAGAAAGAGAACCTAGACTTTTCTTTCATTTTAACGAGGTTCTTGATGTTGATAGAGAAATTAGTGTAGGGGACGAAGTTGAATTTACAGTCGTACAAGTGAGTGTTTGTCAGTGTGATAAATTATACTTCAGCGTTTAAAAGTTTTTTTTCTTTTTCATCTTGTTATAATTTTACTCTTGTTTTTTTTACAAGGACCCGTCATCATCATTCTCTAATACTCGACAAAGTGCTATTAGACTGAAACATTTGCCAATGGGTACCGTAACATTTCAAACTATTATAGAGAAGGATATATTAGGTACTGTATCGCAGGACACAAATTCGATAGAACCTGGCCTCATTAGTTACGGTCAGCAGAAAAGCATTATTTTCTTCTCTAAAGATTGTGACCCTAAGCATATTCCGAAATTGGGTGATAAGGTAAATTGATATAAAGTCACATAGAAAACTTGCACGCCCACGTTTCACTTTTTCAGAGGGGCGCCTACTCTGTACACTCCGCTAAAAGTATTTTTTTTTTGTCACTTTGTAGGTAATGTTTAGTATTGTTCAAGTGAAACGAAATAAAGAACTTGTTGCCGAAGACATATTTTTAGTAAATGCCGCTGGTGAAAAAATTCAAAATGTTAACAAAAAATCAAATGGACAAGTGTGTCAAGGTTTTATTGCCGCCCTCAAAGACGGGTTCGGCTTTATTGAGACAGTAAATCATGATAGAGAAATATTTTTTCACTACAGGTAAGAGCTGTACTTGACATTTTCGCAGCAAAACAATGCGTACACGTATGTATAAAATCAACACTTTATTCGCAGTAACTTTGAGGGAGACGCTAATTCATTGGAATTAGGGGCTGATATCGAATGTACAATTAGCAATTCGAGCAATGGAAGGGGCTCCGGAGGTTGCGTAGCTGCCGATCATGTTAAACTGGTACCTCGCGGAAGTATCCCAAGGCCAACGGCGGTCAGCGATGTACTCGACGGTACTGTGGTACGACCGTTGCGAAGTGCAAATCCCGAGCAGGCTGAGTATGCTGGCTTGATCAAGATAAATCCGACAAACGAGGATGAGGAAACGCCGGAATATGAATTCGGAATCATGGGACTTTCTAACAAACGGGAGCTATTGCAGGCTGGCGATCCTGTGCAACTGCAGGTCGACTCAGCAGGTCACGCTTGTAATATCGTAGCGGTCAGGAAAAAAAGGAGGGCAACTGTGGACGCGATGAAGGGCCCTTTCGGCTTTCTCGCTTACGAAGTCGATGAGGGTAGGAAATTATTCTTCCACGTGAGTGAGGTCCGAGATCATGTTACGCTGCAGCCAGGAGATCAGGTGGAATTCGTTTTGGTTACTAATCAACGCACTGGCAAATCGTCAGCGTGTAACGTAACTCGATTAAGGTAAAGTGATTCTTTTGTCTTGCTTCTCTACAAATGAATGGCAGTGTAATTTTACTTGCAAACTTTTGCTGCCAACAGCGATGCAGTCCAGCAACGACCCGAGCGATTAATAAGCCGATTACGTACTATATCATTGGAGGATTCAGGCCCAAAATTAACTGTGGTCAGGCAACCAAGAGGGCCTGATGGCACGCGCGGGTTCACCCAGGAAAGATGTCAACGTGCTCCTGGTGCCATAGAAGAATAATACGCCTGGGCAGCTAACGAGACTGGGCTATTGATTATCCAAATTGTAATCTACAATTTGTTTTTAGTCCATACACTTCGATACCGAGATTACTATTGTAAGCATGTGGTCGTAAACATTTGCCAAATTCAGAACTAATGTGACAACAATAATTATAATGATAATAATCTGAAAATGGATGGTGACCAAGGGCCGAAATAATATAAAAGTAAAAAAGCAAACAAAAAAATGAACAACGACTCATTTTATCACCTCATAAAGGGAGGAAACGGGAGGAAAAAGAACAGGAAGGCGGTTTATCTTACATTCAGATAATGTTAGAATTTACTCTAATACGTAATTGGTTTCTCTCTTTAGTTAATTTCCCATATTTTCATGAATTTATTGCTAAGCTACCTATTCGATTGTTACTTTTTCTTGAACGTAATGGATAGTTCGTAAGAGATTTGTCGAAATTTTTTATTAATACGTTTCTATTTTCGTACAAGTTCGGTAAACACATCAATTGATTAATTAAAAATAAAGTACTAAAAAGACATCTCAGAATATTTACAGACTACTAAGCTGCCTGTTTATATCCGAGATCTGACCGTCTTTATAAAAAGTATCCTTGTGCATATTGATATACAATCTTTATTTATATGATTTATTTCGAAATTTGTTTTACCCTATTTTGTATATCATATGTGATATAAATGTATAATACAATGGGTGAAAGAAAAGGATAAAACATTTACGCGCGAATACCAGAATCTACGTGATATTGATACAAAAAGATTGAAGGAAAACATCCTGCACTACAGATTCTTTGCCGGAATTTGTTGAATAATTTTATTATGAGCAGTGTGTTTTGTTATAATCAATTATGATATTGAGTCACTCTGTTAAGATGTCTATAAATTTGTAAAAAAGAAAGGGAAGAGTTATGACTGGCCAACTGTTTATCTTAGATAATTATAAATATATAAATATATATATATAAATATATATATATATACATGTCGTTAAGTTCCTCTAATGCAGTGTTGTAAAATCAAATTAGTATTACTAATTCTGTGGACATGCAACAATGGAAATTACAAAAAAATACCTATGTAAAGAGCAAAAAGTCACGTTTTATAAGTTTTGCCATCTGAAACGGTAAGCGAGGTACATGTGGCATTATTGTAGAGATACGAGAGAAATAACGTAAAATAAGGTAAAGTACATAACACAAGCACGATACAAACTAAGCGCTTGTCCCGAAACTCATGGATCCAACACATCATGTGCATACATATTGTAAAATTATTGATGAATAAACAGTGGAAGCATCGAAATACATCTACCTTCTATAAAACGTCGGAGCACTTTCAAAACCGTGAAATTATTTTACGATGTAACTCGAATACTTGCCGAGCTGTTTCCAAAATCGCGGTTTACAAAAAGGCCGAATGGGAATGCAAAATGAGAGGTGGAACGGCGTATCGACTGTATGTTTTAATATTTATTATGTATGTACAAAGATGTGTGTAAATATGTTTTATGAAATGCGTTTCTTTCTTTGTATGTATGTATGTATCATATTAAGACAAATTTGAATTTCAGATCGAAATAAGCGGAGAGACTGGAATTAGATCACGACGCACTCGTAAGGGAATTGTCCTCGGAAAAGCGTATTGTCTGGTCGTGGACAGGCTGTAACATAAATTATTTGTTAATTTTTTTTCTCTTTCGTCTGCGTCATCGTGATGTGTTCTCTATGTTGAAAGAAAACCTCAAGGAATACGAGGACTTTTTAATATTTAATAATATACCATTTTTTTCTACCAAAATACCCTTTGCTTTCTAATTCTATTCAGTCATTCAGGTGATTTTTTATGCAAAGATTTATACGTATACGAAAAATTACAACGTTCTCAAGACTGTGAAAATGAACTCGAATTATCTGCTGCCATTGGAGGGTACTAACGTGTCTCGCAGTAAGTGCCATAAAATCCGGTTCCTTCGCAACGACATTTAAATCCGGGCTCCGACGATATTTGGGAACAGGAGCCCTCGTTCATGCAAGGCTTCGATCGGGAGCATATGTCGCTACGTCTTCCTGTAACGAGACAAGTTAAAGTTTTCAAGACAAGTGTAACGTACAACGTCTCAGTGTGTCTACTATTCTGCAGATTTAACAGATCAAGTAAGAGCAAGTATCGTTTGTCATTACCTTTCAGCGCTAACTTGCAATCGTCATTGTTGTCATATCTATACTCGGCTTTGCAGCCGTAGCCGCAACTGCATTGTGCATTGTAGATGCGACATCCGTATCGCATCTGATCCAACTCGCATCCCTTCGACAATACAACTCCTGGCAAAGGAACTTGGTGTTAATTAGACTGTGTTGAACAAGCACAACGTTTTTGAGTTATTTAAGCAAAAAAATTACATTTATAGAATGCCTCTCGTGTCTTCTTAGCAAACGTTTTCATTTAACTGGGATTGATTTTTCGTCAACAAACGAACCTTCTTTGACAATGAGATAAGTTGCAGCAGAGAGAAAATAAAAAAGCTTTGTTTCTCGATCAATTTCACAAGCAGATTTTAACAGAATTTAAATTTCTGTGATTCAACAACATACAAAGACTAAATATTATAGGGATGTAATAAATAACGAACATTTTCGCTATTTTTTAAGAGAAAAAACCGTATATTGATCAAACGGCAATAAAAGAGTATTCGATAGTTTAGAAAAATCAACGAATGAAGCTGTTTTACTATATTTACTATCATGGGTTTATATTAATAATTATTTTAATGTTATCAGAAGAATGAATAGACGCGATTCTATCAATTTGGATTCTATATTTATCAATTATCTGCATTATTTTTAGGTGAATGTACCACAGATGTAGTGAAAATATCTACGGTTTATTTACCCCGAGGAGAGATAGTGGCGTTTTAATGGAAGCGAATGTTTGCGCCGGATGTGGCCGGCTGCACTTCCCACTTGTCTAAATTGATAAGAGTTTCACGAGATAGAGGATACCCTGCGTGGGCTAATCGATTTTTAGATTCGTTTGCTCGCGACCTAATGCGTGACTTTTCTGATCTCTATTTCGCCAACGTGTGGATATGTTGCAGTAACATATGTCCAGTAATTTTTAATGTCTTTTAGCTGCGTTCGTGTACCTCTTCATTCTTCGGTTCATTCAAGGGTAATTATTAATTACAGACGATACGGCTCGTTGTAGCGACGTAATCAGTAAAGAAGGCGTGTGTGGGATGTTCATCATTGAAAGTGCCGTTCATTATCGGTATGATGGGTTTATCATTTGATTATTCAGAACATAAACTGAGAGCGCGTTTCATATAGATATTACTGCTATTCATTCTATGGGAGATTAATTATGCTGAGGAAACTGTAATAATTTCGAGGAATACTTAAGTCTTAAAAATTCCTCCTTTGGTGATATAATGGCTTATATTTAAGTTGTAAAAAGTCAACGTATTTAAAATTATTGTCTAGAACAAATTAATAGGCTAGAGGAAAATCGTATATTATTTTGCAAGTACAATAGAACATAGTGACGAGAAAGAAAAAAACCGTAGATTAAGTAATAGATTATACAAAATCGAGTTTTAACCTGGATATACCTGAAAATTGTTAATTTTGGGAATTTGATTGACGCAAGAAAAACACATATAGTTAAAAACATAGTGTTTTTAAAGTACCAATCTTCTGGAAGAGCAATGAGCAAATACATGAATTAAATGAACATGTCCTTGCGGAAAGAAATCTGTATATAAATTGCTAATTATTATAATCTCTGAAGTTATACATTTAATTAACTAATTATCGGACTGTATAATACATTTTGAGAGACTGTATAATACATTTTATTGTATACTTAATGATATACTGAATATTTAGTGTCTTCGTCTATGCAAAATTTATAATCCATCGAGCTCGGTATTATAATATAACGTACCCATTGTTAAAAGGAGCAGAGCGACTGGCAGCGTTAGTCTCGGTAGCATGATGTTCCCGGATAAGGTGAAACAAGAGAGACGTCAAAAAGCCACACGAAAGATACTGCGGACGGCGATAATCCAAGAGAGGAGCGCGACGGGGAGATCGTCGACCGCTCGGCGTTTTCTTGGTAGGCTTTTGTCGCCGGCCCGGTGTCAAAGGTCGACAGACTCTCCACACAGAGGATACGGGATCAGTACGGTCTCTCTTCTCACGCGCGTTCTCTCGTCGACGTCGCAACGGGAGAAGCGCTCGCCGTGTCGTTCGGGGACGATACAGCGGCCGAGTCGACCGAATCCGCCGACTCGTGGCAACTAACTGTCGTGGACCGCTAAACTAGTTACGATCGTGCAGATGCCGTCCAATCGCTGAAGAATTATGCGTGGGGTACAACTCCGTCTTCCGCCGACATCCACAATATCGAGAATCAGAAACACGAAATCATGCAATTCTTTAATTTCTCGTAACGTTAATCTATTTATTAACGAGAAATAAGCTCTTGCATTTAAAATATATGCTCTGATAAAATTAAAGCTTGTAACGGAAGAAAATTTTAATAATCCATTAACTTTTCTTGCAAATTTGCTAGACTTCTCGTGTTTGAGATTCGCAAAGAATCGCATGTCAAGATGTTTAACGAATATTTACGGATATTTAATTCTTGTATATAATATTTTCCGGTGTAAAAAGCTACTTGTACTTTACGATCACTTTGAAATGAGATATAGCTATTCGCAATGTCTTTATTGTGACTTGTCGCAATTTATATGTACCTTGTTTTTATTTTCTGATAAAGTTTGACGAATTCAAGCTTTTTGTTTGCTATCACTGTACGACTGTATATATATCAAATTATCAGACTCACTGTCTTTGCAACACAGTGAGTCTATTTTCGTTATGAAAAAAGACTGCGTCTTCAGTTTTTTTGGACTCGAGATAAAAATTTTCATAAAGAAAGAAACGACATGTTTCGCAGACAATTATTGAATCGATAATCTAGCAAATCAATCGAATAATCCATTTAATTTTTGACACAAAGTAAAAATATTTTAATTAAGTTGAACATATCACTGATGAAATATATATCGATTTAAGAAACAAAACGCGTTTTATTTGCAATTTGAAGAAATAAGAAAGTCAATTCTTTTGTAGAGTAGAGCGGGGCTATTTCGCTCAGTTGAAGAAAAATTCGGATAAAAAATATTTTCAAGATAACAGCTAAAAAGCGAGAAAAACCTCAGGACTCCGAAAGTTCCTCTCTTTCGTGAAAATTAAAAAGCTCCTCCCTGTTTCAATTAATTTTTTTATTTAAGTTTTCATTAACTAAGCGAAATAGCCCTCTACCCTACGTATGCTTGAAGTTACATTTGATTTTTCTAATTACTTATTTATATAATCGTTTCCAGTAACGTTCGATCTTTCGTCCTTTATTAGCGCAGATATTTGTGTTACAAAAGACAAAAGTAAAAATATGTAACATACGAGACAAACAGTTCTTCTTTGTCTCGTAATATATTAAGTGAAAATCGGTGAACATTATAACTTGTCAATACTTCCAAGGACAGAACCATTCGAATGATTACAAGTATTAATCATTTATAAAATTACTTTTATTTTCAAGTCATATACGTGAAATTCTTTTCTATACTAAGGATCGACTAGCTCCATTAGGCAAGATCTAGACTTAACGACGTATCATCACATGCTATCGCCTCTTAGAATTCGATAACATTTGACACTGGTAGCTCTAAGTCAGGAAATTGATGGAATGTGTGTCACAGGCCCGTAAAATTTATCACTTTTGACAAAGCAATAAGATTTAATTAAAAAAAATTTTACGGGATCAAGATCAATATGTCAATAGTGCATCGTGTATTTATTGCTCGAATACTGCATAATATACTGTATAAGATTATAGTATTAAGACACAGTACATTTTAGTGGATCTAAGATTATAGTACAAGAAAACTGAGACATCCACATTTAATACATAATTAAAATAATTTATTAAAACAAATTTTTTAAAGACAGATTACAGAGATGTTAGAACAATTTCATTTGTCTATTATTATGCCTAAATTGTATTTAATTGTATATACTCTGTTAATGAATATTTTACAATTCTTAACGCAAGAAGTGAATAAGACAGCGATAATTATTGTAACACAATATATCAAATATTTCATATTTCTAAAATATATTCTACATGGCAGTATAAACATTCTGAAGCGTTCAGAACACGATTGATCGTTTCGTCATTTGTCGTAGAGTATTCCAACTGGAACGTCCGTCCGACATCATTAATACACAGGGTTGGGAAGTAACGCGTTACCGTTTTCGTTACTTTTTTACGTCTGTAACGGTAACGTCGTTACATTTTTACAGTAACGGTAACGAATTCAGCCATTACTTTTATCGTTACTTTAATTCAAATTCTATCACTTATATGTGGCACATTTTCTAAAACTTGAAACACTCATATTCTGAAAAGAATATTGACAAATAAAGTCAGGGATTAATGATTGTCGCCGGTTCGATATTTAATTAAAAATGTTAGTACCTTACATGAATGTTTGATCGTGTTGTTCGTGGATCATCGTTGCCCTTCGGGATTGAATCAGACCAGACTGTCTATTATACAATTCTCTAACCAGACTATCCTTTTCTTGCTCAAGTAACGCTATCCGTTGGCTCTTTTTGCTAACTTCCTGTTTTTGTTGTCGCACAAAGAATAAATTAATTTCCTTGCCGCTTTTCTTACAGTACGATATTATTCATTACCTCGGTTAATCTGTGATTCTGTTGTTTAAGCCTCGACAACATATCCTGCTGAAGCTGCGCCGAGGTCGGCGCACTCAGGAACGCGAGATTCATATGGAGGGGAAGTCCTCCGCGTTCCCAGCTGCTTATCAGGGCGGCTAGATGTCGGTTTACTTCCAGGACACGCGCGCGTTGCAGCTCCAAGCGCTCTTGCTGTGCCTCCGTCCATTGTTCCTATGCGAAATACAACAGCATGTATCTTGTGAAGAATTCTGCTTAATGTGAGAGAGCGAGGTGTCTTTCTCCATACCACGTGGGAACCCATTCGTCCGAGGTGCTTAATCTTCTCTTGAGTGGCCGATATCTGCTTCAAGTACCATTCTCTAGCTTTATCAACGGCAGCTAGACCTTGAAGTAGCACATCCTTCTCTTGCTCGATCTGCTTCATCCTTTTCATCTGAAAGCGTCGTGTATTATGAAAATATTTTGAAATATCAAGAAAGAAAATAATTGTCACTTATGAATGTGCATGCAAGATTCATGTCGACTAAAAGAAAATAATTAAAGTTACAGGATACATGTCTCTCACTCTTCAAGAGATATGTATCGCCGTTAATAGTCAGTTAGTGCATACCCAGAACCAATCACCAAGAGTTAGTCGGGAGTCCTAGAAGATAACGTCTTTACCATATTGTAATCAATACCATTCTGCAACGTGTGCCGCCTGGGCTCTCTGCGGCGATTCAACGGTTTCTTGGCCTGAAGACCGAGCTGATTGCTCTGTATGTCAACCGCCTTACCGTCGCCCAGAACTCTGGCCGGTCTCAACAGCGTCCTGGGGTCCGGCCTATAATTTACCGCGTGCAGCTGACGCTTCTCCTTCTCGTCGCTCATCATAAGACCCATCTGCCAGTTTTGCAGCACGGTCCTGATCTCAGACTTGTCAAAGTTACGTTCCAGGCCCATCGTTCTGCCCTCCAGCGCGGCGCCGGTCCGCGGCGGCTTCGGCGGGCCGTACACCTTGTTGACCTTGGGCTCCCCGATGTTCCTGCCGGTGTCCATCAGCTCCAGCTGCGCGTTCACGTCCTTGCGATTGGCCAGCAGCTGCGGCATGCTGAGGGTGCGCTGCTGGGACATGGCGTTGTTGGGTCTTATGGCGGCGGTGTTGGGCGACGTCCAGACCGCCTTGCTCTGACTGTCGGGGATGAGTATCGGCGCGGACGGCGGCCTGCTGGGCTGGCCGTCGTGCTTCTTCGCGTCCGCCCCCGCCTGGATCTGCAGCAGGCAGATCTTGAGGCCGGCGCAGAATCTCTCGAACGACAGCAGCCCGTTCGGCGGCGTGACCTTCTTCAGGCTGTCCAGCACGCCCTTGGGCAGGCCCTGCGTGCCGTCGTCCTGCCAGCGGCCCTCGATATCGACGAACTTGATCACGCCGGTGTTCTGATCGTCCATTATGTCGAACAGCGTGCGCATCGCGCTGACGAAGTGCTTCGGCAGCCCGTCCACCGTCGACGTCTGTATTTGCGCCATATTTAGCCGGGAATCTCAACGCCTCGCAGCGATATCCGTTGTTACGCGTTCTCCAGATGACGGCAGCTACATCATCGAGGGGACGGATTAGCGGGGCTACTTAGCTCAACGGCCGTGCCTTTCTCGCATATTTCCCAATCAACTATCGCCGTACTCCGCCCGGATCCAGCGATCGCATCGTCCCCGCGCTACAGGTTCACGATCGCCACAGGTTGTTTTCCACCCTGCAGATTATTAACCTCCTCCCGCGCGGCCATATGCAATCCATGCATCAATCAGGGGCTGGTCAGGCTGGTCTCCCAGCGAGAGAGAGAGAGAGAGAGAGAGAGGACCGAGTAGAACGGATCATGCGCCGTGCCAGCGACCTAGTAACTAGTGAGTTCTAAACTCGCGCGCTGATTCGTAGCGCCATCACGTTCGATTTATCGCGGACGTAGACGACTAGCCACATCCATTTTTCAAAATGATAAAACACTGCGTGGTTTATCTGCGCTTGAATTCTCGAAGGAGAAACGTATGCAGACATTTTGTAGCCAGAGGTTGCAAGTCGAGTGACTACAAGTCGTGAAAATAGCTAGTCGACTTGCAACTTTTCGGTAATGGCAGAATTATCGCACATGCATTTCTCTTTCAAATGAATTCAAGAGAATTATAAGGTCTATTCCATCTGCTGCGTTTTATCAACGGCGAAGATTACTTTTGCTTACATTTGTAATACAATGTAAGTCTTCGGAGTTTATCCGAACTTACATTTGTATATAATTGTCATCATTCGTTTCCCATTCAGCACGCGTGTCTAAAAGACGTCTTAAAGATGTCTTTTGCGTGTTGTATGGGTCCTGCCACTTGAAAATGTTCACATCCCAGTAAACTCCGAGTCCGAGCGAAAATAATATATTTATTAAAAGTTTATAAGAAGTTCGTTTAAATGTCGAGTCAATGTTTTTATTTGAGTTTAAAAACATTTATAAGAATTGTTTGTGAGATACAAATTTAAACATGGAGTTGTTTATGACATGTTCACGGTTACACGTGTCGAAATTTGATGATACATTGTGAAACGTTTCCATTATAGTCTTCTAAGTGTTTGTAAAATGTTGTTGTCAGTAAAGAATGAACCGGGTGTTTGCAACGTACTTCCAAACGGTGTAACCACCAATAAAACTCTTCATAAACAATTTAATGTAATCATCGATAAAACTCGTCAGAAAAAAATATAAACGTCATTTCTTACTTAAAATTTTCGCCAGGGGAGTATCAGTTACATTGCATTTATGAGTTGTTTATAAGATATTATTTCAAATGTAGTTATTGAGAATGAAAAATATGTGCACAGCTATAAGAGATTCAATTTCGCTGACAATTTGCTTTATCCACACCCCGTTGTTTCTTAAATATATAAATTTTTTGCTTTACAAAGGATTACATAAATTATAATAATTTTGGTTTAAATCTCTTTAGGCAAAAATCTACTAATATATTAACATAATTAAAATAATATATACAATACATGCACATATAACGTACATATAATACATAATTATTTTAATTAATCTTAGATATAATGAATTATAACAATATAAAATAAATTTTAGACATAAAATAACGAAATTTGACAAAAAAAGATGCTAACAGTACGCGGTGTTCCCAAACGGTCACCCATTTAAGTACTAACCGCGCCCAACGTTGCTTGACTTAAGTGATCAGACGAGAACTTGTAGGTTCAACGTGGTGTGACCGTTAACGAAAGTATATTTTTTGTAAAGAGATTGACATACTTCTCTATTAGTCTTCATACTAATTATTATATTTTTAAAATACTAGGAAATAAGGCCAATTTAGGAAATAAAACTTTATTTTTACTTTTTGCTTATTATTTCTACACAGTGTTGGTTTGCCGCGTGTTGCTTTCGCGACGTGTTGCTTTCGCAACGTATTGCTTTCGCATGTATTGTGCATGTATTGTATATATTATTTTTATTATGTTAATATATTAATAGATTTTTGCCTAAAGAGATTTAAACCAAAATTATTATAATTCATGTAATCCTTTGTAAAGCAGAAAATTTATATATTTAAGAAATAACGGGGCGTGGATAAAGCAAATTGTCAGCGAAATTGAATCTCTTATAGCTGTGCAATATATTTTTATTCCATTACAATATACATCTCAATAACTACGTTCACATTATTTATATACATTTAACAGAAATAGTACATACGTGGAAGGATTAAAAGATATAGCCGAAAATGTTGAATGTACATATATCATATAAAGATAGATGAGAGAGGGAGAGAGAGTGAGAGGGGGGAGACGTAAATGAAACTTCTATGAAGCGTAAATTAGAACATCGAAACGTAAAAGAGTCGTTTACTTTTCAAACGCTTCTTTCAAATGTAGCGTCCCAATTTGCGCTTCGTAGAAGTCTTGCTTACACTTCTATCATTCTCATCTTACACTCAACTTACGCTCCGACCTGTATTTTTCGCCAAGAAGAGACTGAATATGACTAAAAGCTGCAAATTCAATTGGTAAAAGTCTTCTATCTTTTGAAGAAGGGATCTCCGCTTAAAAGATTACGTTTTATGAAACGTAATCTGTACATCAATGTACATTGACATATGATATATCATAATACACACAGTTAATGCTCTAATCTATTAGTCATGCTAAAATGTGTTCTAAAATATCCATTAAATGTATACTAAATGCAGACTAAATGTACACTAAAATGTACTTTGAAATGAGGTGATTTGACTATTGACGTCTCTTACAAGTAATTATTTTCTTTCCTTCTATACATATATTTGAAGATTATTTATTATCAATATACTTCTTTATAGATAGATAAACAGGAAATGAATGAGGATAATCTTAATCCGTCCATGTTTAATAATTTTAGTTCTCACCTCAAACTAATTATATCTTATTTTATACTATATGTCTATATAATCGTTGATTTTTACGGCATTTCTACATAAGACAGCAAAGAGATTTCTGCGTCCGTCAGAGAATCTAATTCTCAAGCTTTACGCTGATCTTTTTAAGCATTTAATGGGCCTGCGATCTCTTCGTCATGTCGACGCGTTTGCTGATCTTCCCGAGGACGAGTCTCCTCGGCGTTGGGACTGTTGTCCTGGTCGTCGCTGTCCGAGGACGAGCTGTCCTGCGGCATCTCAATGCCATGAGTCAGCAGGCTCGTTATCCTTTCGACGTCGATGGTGTCGTCCTGCTCGTGGATCTTCTTCAGGGCGTTCGACACTATGCAAAGATCGCCCCGCAGCTCGCTGACCACCGCCGTGATCTTCTGGGCATCCGTCAACACCTCCACCGACTGGGTATACGGGTTGTAGCGTATCCCGAAGGGCCGTTGAATCTGATTGGCGAACGCGCTGGAGAACACAAGTGGCGATATAGCAACAACAGACGCAGACGGCGACGACGCTTCCTTAAATTCGAAGAGGAGACGCCGTTGCCTTCCGACGAAAATCGGTGAAGTGTAACGGTAGAAAAGAAGATGATAATTACCGCATTTTTTCCTTCGCCTCCTCTATGCTGTCCGTATAATAATACGCATTCTGAAATGCGGTGATGATGCATTCCTGCTTGCAAGTGATGTCCGGCTCGAATCTTATGGTCTTCTCGGGGGTGGTGACCGCGTGTCGCAACTCCGCCACCGATGACAGCAGACCGGCCCCGTAAACGCGTAGCATACCGTCTTGCTTGCACAGACCGAACTCCACCGTGAAGAAGTACAGCTGAAAGGGGAGAAGTCGAGCATGTGCGAAAGACAGAAGTGTTCGTCCCTTCGAAGACTTACGGTTGCCAGTTTGTCTATGTCTTCGTCCGACGCGCCGAGGGAAGCCAGACCGAGCTCCTGAGAGAACTGCGCGAAGCTCGCGTTCGCCAGCAGCGGCATGTGGCCCAGCAATTCGTGGCAGCAGTCTCTGCAAATTACGGGATATGTTGCAACCACTCTAAAATACGACAATGAGGAGAAGAACCGTTCAGCCAGGGGTCTATTTCGTCATCGATATCTGCTCCGCGGTTTACAACGCGGTTTATTGTTCGCGCTCTTGCGGAGAACGTGCTTACGGCTCCGGCGTGTAAAATGGATCGGAAGAGTGTCGAATGTACTGCGTGCAGTGGAACACTCGGAAAGCGAGGCCGGCAAGGAAGTCCCGCGGTGTCAGATATCCCGCGACCGGGCGAAGTTGAAATCCTGTCGTTCCTGTGGATACATCGGTTTAAATTAACGTGTTAGCACTGCTTTCGCGAAATGCCAGACTGACCACGACAGTCTTACTTACGCTTCAGGAAGACGTTTATATCCTGCAGCTGTGGTATATTGTCTTCTCTGAGGTAAAATTTAAATATGGGATATTATGCAAATTGACATTTCTTTTAGTGAAACAAAAATTTCTCTGTCATAGCTGAGCAGGATTTGCTAAAAAGATTCCGCATTAACTATAAATTTCTAAACTACAGCAAACGGTTTGCTGTCGCACTCGGAGAGATTAATACAATGGGCACAGCATAGCATAATATTAGCTATCACAACTAAATATTAGCTGTCCATATTTTACAACTTAAATTTACCACATGCAGTTTTTAGCTACTACGGCTACATTTTCCCCGCGTTTCATTTGTTTCTTTCGGAAATTATTTAAATTATCCCTGCACGTGCACATTCGCGTATCAATAATTGTCCAATTTGTTTAATAAAACCGTGGACGAATCTCAGTTAAATGTTCGTTAGATGTACCTGTATCCACAATACTTGACCAGCCTCGGCCAGTTTTCCAGATATTCTTTGCACGCGTATTTTTGATAAAGTTGATGCAGTTCGCGGAAAACGGTTCCCCTAAGACACAAAATTGCTATTTTATTATATTTTGGTCGATCCTTTTATATATTTGCATTGCGCGTTAAAAATGTATTTAAACCGTGCTATACTTCGATACGCATATTTTTTAGACGATGCTTATTAAGACATTGTTAAATGACGAATTGTGGATGTTTATTGAATTAATGAAATTTATGTTTGGCTGTTACCCAAGAGCTCTCGTTTTAATTAAGTTTGTTGAAGCGGCAATGTTTGCTTCATGCATCGTTGCATTTAAGTCGGAGAGATTGCATTAGCCGAGTCGCTCCTCGATCTCTTCCTACGCCGAGGATAAATCAAATTGACGCAATTAAGGGTGCATTCAGCGTGTGCCAATCTTATCTCGATTCCTCGCTCGATTCGTACTTTACAAAGAGACACATGGAACGAGGAAGAGAAAGAAAGAGGAGGGGAGAGAAAGAGGGGGGGGGGGAGGACAAATTGATTTCCTCGTTTCAAATCGGTTTCGAAAGATGAGAGCTCACATCGAGGACATCGAGCGAATGTATAACTTAAGTATCGAGAAACAGAAATGATTCTTCTATCCGTGCCAATTGCCTTCATGTACGCGGAAGCACGTTCGTACTTCTGACCGTAGCTTAATGAGAAAAAGTTGTATGTCGTGTCTCGAAAGAGAGCATCGATTGATTCGCGACTCGCGATATATCGTAAGTCACTCTTTAACATGATCGCGAGGCGTTTTCGTGAACATTTTTCCACTTAGTCTTCTCTACTTGGGAAAATATTACAGATTGGGCTTTGAGAATTGCGCACGGAGAGAATTTTTTCTTAAAATTTATCCCGAAACCGTACATTTCACTACGACACAGCACTCAAGTTTTGAGTGTTAACACTCCGTAGTTTTTCCGTAAGGGATGTGTCCGGAGTTTAGAAGATAGAATAGTTACCAGGCAAAACGAATTTTCCCTTTTACGAAGAATATTAAAAATTCTGCAATAATGTGTAAGAAAAAAGAACGTACCAGGTTTTGATCTCCTCCGGCGTATACTGCACCCTCGGTATCGGTTGACCACTAAAACATCACGTTGCTTGTGATTGGGGGGAAAGAAATGTCTCTCTCGGGCGGGTAAACCCTCTCGTTCTACTTACTATCTGTAATTGTAAGCAATATCGGCGAACTCCTCGCGGCGCTTACGATACACGGTGTCCTTGAAGCCCTACAATCGCCGAATAGTTTTGTTAAAGCACGCGGTCCAGCGCGAGAAGGAGCAATTGCGGTAGCATGCACGAAATCATGCGGTAAACGTACAGGATGGTCCGCGTCCAATTCTGATCCATACATGAGAACTTTCTGGGCCCGGTCTAGGTCCGATATCTTCCGTGGGAACCAGGGCATGTCTACCTCGCTAAAATCTTTAAATTGCGTGTTAGCGCGCTGCTTATAAGTTATTCCATTAACGGAAGTCTTGAGACAGAGGCAATAAAAGACGCGCCGCGGTAAACCTTGATACAAATTCTATCGGGCTTGCAATTTTAGCCCTCGCTAAAAGGATGGAAACACTTTACGGCGTAAGTAACGATAACAAACTGAGGGGCGCACCTGAAGAAATGCGATATCTTTCGATTCCTCCTCCGCGAACGGATAGATCGTATGACGAAATACTTTATTTCAGAAAGTTTAAAATAAACGAGGGTTTAAAACGAAAAATTTTCAGCGAGTCGTAAACATAAGTGAATACGACAATGAAACTTATTTAACAAATTATTAAATTATTATTATTAAATTGTTAAGTATTTCATATGAAATTCAGCGAATGAATAAATTATATATTATCATATAATTGCAAAATATTACTTGTTTAGTTAAAATGGAAAACTGTGCACTGTAAAAAAAGTATGTAAAATTACATATATAATAAGTGTAGCGATTACGCTATTAATGACGAAAATATATATATTTATGCACTTTTATAAACATTTTTTTACTCTTTGTTGTGTAAATACTTGTTTATACACGATGCAAAATTACACAAATTGTAAAATTTAATGAAAAGCAAGCAATTTACTTATTATAGGTATAAGGTAACAATTTTACTCGCATATATAAATACACACCTTTAATAGATGGTCCCAACATTACCCACTATAATAATTGTAATTTTACATGTAATTTTTTTTACAGCGTGGCTCTTAATTTGTGAATTAAAACGTGAATGAATTCAGAGCTAATGAATTCTTAATTCCGAGAGCGTACTTCCAACTGAAGCCGCAGTTTATCCGTATCGGAATTTAATTACGTCAAGTAACAATTACAACGGCGGCGCGCGGATATCGGAGTTGCATTTAACCCTGTTTCGTGTCGATGAAAAATTTATTCTATTGATATTCGTTACCGTGCACGTGGGGGACTCACCGAAGCTTGTCGCGGTCGAAAGGGACGGCGCGCGCGGTATACTTCCGATCTGCTCGTAATGGGCGAGATTGATAGCCGCTACTTCGCGGCTCAGCATCTTCATCAATTGCTCCATCCTCTTCGGGTCGCACTCGACGTCTACGAGGATATCGTACTCGGAGACGCGGCGCTGTGACTTCCTCGATTCGATGTGCACAACGTTTATACCTAAATCCTTCGCGCGATGAAGAAAAGATAGGTTTTCTCAGTAACCTTTCGAAATGTGCTCGCAGCTGTGAATGGCACTCTCTAAAAGTCAATCAGTGGATTATCACTGAAAATAGCGAATAGTCACTGCAGCTATGAGCGTACTGAAAATCGCAGTGGTACACCTGTGACTGTAAATCAGTAACAATTCACTGTTTTCAGTGATAATTCACTGAGTGATTTTTAGAGAGTATCGTACGCGGTATTTATCACTTGGAACTTCGAAGGCGACTCTTTCTTGACACACCGATTGTCGCAAATTTATAATCTATCTCATATTAATGGAGGGCTTAGGAAGATTTGTCTTGTTAGTAACAACGTTCACCAGAAAGACGGTCATTCTTGTTCGCATATGCGAGCAAAAAATGTTATTTAGAAAACTTTACACAGGACCGCATATTTTCTAGACATATTTCCGATCGTTCATTCGGTCAGATTTATTAAATAACTTGTGAACAATTTAAAGAGGGTGTAACATAGTTTTAACGTAGACACATTGTAAACGAACCTGAAACACTTGAAGTGCTCGTGCCAAGCCACCGACTTGATTCTTCAAGGAAAATATCACAGAATTCTTGTTGTCACTAGTCGGATTATTCTCACTCTCGGGGATCTGAATGAACGAGAGACCGTGTCTATTTAACAAGCAAGCTGCTCGTCTCTACTTTTATGTTTACTCGCGTAAATTCAATTTTACACTTTTACGAAATTCACTTTTAAGTCCAATTAAATTAATTATTCCAAGAGAATTAAGAAACATCGACGATTTGAAGGTAGAAGTTGTTCGAGATAAATACGTGCAAAATACTTTCAAATACGTGCACGCGCAGTGATCGGGCGAAACGACGGTTGTTCCGAAAACAGCAATGATTTCTGTTTTGCTGATATGGGCCTTCGTGCGAAGTCATCGCAAGTCATTCTGGATGATGATGACTACACGAAGCCCATGCCAGCAAAATCAGAAATCGAATCTGAAAATAATAATGATTTCAGGAAGCAATCGAATTCTAGCGCGGGTTTTATGTATCAATGCACGTCATCTCGAACAGAAGTGCATTAAATTTGAAGCTTGTATTTATGACAAATAATTATAATCCCAAGCGAATTAAAGCTTCTTCGAGATTAATTAAACATTCACTTTTACATATACAATGTGCTCCAAAAATAAGAGAACACTAAACACTTAAATAACATGTATTCTAAGATTAATTGCTAAAAGAGATCATTTTTATTCCCGCGCGACTTATCGTAATGTTTATGATTTTCCCTAAAATCACCGAGTCGTCAAATCTAATTTTTCCCGATGAAATATGCGGCAACGTACGTCGCGCGATTTGTGTAGCGGACTTCCTTCCTTGACGGCCCAGCTCTCGCCTCTCCTGTACAGCCACACCCCGAGAAGACTCTTGCCCGACCCACTCATTTTGCGACAAACGATTTTGCGAAACGGCGAGATTTTTTTGTCGGTATTTCCGTTTATCGCAACGAGATTTATCTTTTAATACGTCGCGCCGCGCGAGAGACGACTTTGCGACTGATTGACGGTTCGCCGTCTTTAAGGAGACGAGCAACAGTGTGCCGGTACCATCCTTAAGGTCCTCTTAAGACCTCGGTCTCCCCGTCTGCGCTCGTCCTTCTCAATGACGATCCCGCCGTGGTTGGGCGGCGCACAGCGGCACCAGCGATTCCCATTGGTCGGATAAAATTTCTCATGGGGTTGAAGACAAGTGTTGGCTCACCCCCGTTTAGCGGCAAGTGGTGCCGGTCCTCGAATGTATTTCTCGTGAGTGACGTCACTGGAGCCCACGGGGTGGATGATGCGAGCACCGGTAACGAGGGGCGCGCGCAAGAATTGCAAAGTTTCCAATAAATGAGGTGCGACATTGCGACGCTTTTATTCTTGCAATGAATTTCTATCCGAGGAACAAGGGAGAGATTCTTCCTCTTCGTTTTCTTAAAGAGATAGGATGAGATATTTATTGACTGGCGCGGAAGAAAGATTTTACACTGAAAGATAAAATTATTAACTTTACTAATTACTAATTATACATATTTATATGATGTATAATAATTATTTACAGGACTTTATCTGTTTTATTTATAATAAATAACGTCGTTGCTATTGATAATATAATTCCAGTTACATATTGTCACGCAGAATTGTAAAACGTTGAATTTATATATCTAATTGTAAATTATTCTTTTATTTGTAATTTTCTTTGTACACTTTGTACACTTAATTGCGCTTACACGGAGAGAATGTTCTTTTAAAATTTATTCTGAAAATCGTGTAGTCGTGGGACAACATGGCATTTTGAAGAACGTTGTGAGAATTTTTTGAAAGTTTACCATACATTTCACTAGTAAAATTTCAAAAACTCATAAAATTCTTTGAAATACTGTGTTGTCCCACGATTACAATATTTTCAGGATAAATTTTAACAGAAAATTCTCTCTGTGTACATTTTTCCTAAAAATTATGCTCTGCATGTTTCAAAGAAACTTAAGAGTATGTTATAAATATTAGCTCGCAATAGTGAAAATACAATAATATATAGAAATTTTCTTCGTAATTTTAACAAGATATAGTATTTAATGGAAATAATCACGGAATAATGTATTGATAACGTTTTTATCTTTAAAAGATAAAACGCTTGAGGTCTCGTGTGCAAAATTGCACATGTCGCGATTAAAAAAAAAAAGTCGCGATATCAAAACGTCAAAGCGAAGAAGCGGTCAGTTGAAGGAGCGACTTCCTACCGGAGGAGGAAGCTTCTTCGACGAGGCGGCGATTTCTCGTTCTCCGGATTCTGCTCCGAAACAAAGAGACTGTTTAATAAAAGCTCGAACACCCGAGGGGTATTCCCACTTCTGAGGAAAGTAGATGCAGCACATTACGCGTCGTCTATTACTTACCACTATCAGCTGCCGCAACGCAGTTTCACCCTCGGTAAATTATACCGAGTGTTTCACCGGCATTTCAGCGAGATTGAGAGTATCGTTCGTGGACTAGAATACACTGCCCTATCGAGACGCGTTCGCGGGCATCTTCCGAGGTGGTATCTCTCGCGCTCTCAACACTGATAACTGTCTATTATTCAATCAATTTCATTCACTATCGATTTCGTTAGCCCCATTGCCGAATGCGCCGTGAAATTTTTTGATCCCGGTGTCGACTCCATAAAGCCACGCGCTAGTACTCTGGGAAAAAAAAGACAGTTGTAACCCATTTTGGGGCCCACCATTGGTAATCGAATTATTTGGATTGTTCGTAACTCTACTCTGGGAAAAATGTTGACCGTTTTTTGATGTAGTTAAGTAACTTAACATTTCGGTTATTGCCACTTAAGTGAAAATTATCTTTGCGTTACTGAACATCGACAGAACTAATTGAGAGAATTGATTAGTATTACTTTAATATCTTGGATATAGATAGAACAGCTAATTGTGATTTTTAGTTACGCGGGATAAAATTCGTAAAAGATTAGAGTTACGAACAATCTAAATAATTCGATTACTAATTGTGGGCCCCAAAATGGGTTGTAACTGACTTCTTTTTCCCAAAGTATCGAGGAGAGCCTCGGTCCTCGTAAAACTGCGAGGAGGATCAGTCCGCGCGTATAACGCAATCTTACGTCACCCGCATCGCTGGATTCACCCTTTCGTCTGCCGGTGACACGAGACACGATCCTTTACCGAGGAGGTCGAAGGAGCATGGCGCGGTTATCAGCGACGACAACGAGAGATCGACTATAGGATCAAACGGGGAAGTTTTAATGGAAGATGCTGGGTAGCACGAATTTAGCTTCTGTCATCTATCCCGCTGCAAAGGCCACTAGGTCAGACGCAGTCGATACCGTCCATTTCTTTGCCACGTATTGTCTGAATTTTTCCTCGGGATTACATCGACGACACTACTCCTCGTCTCTGCGTAATAAAAACACATTTAATGCTGCAATTTCAAACTATATTTACATCCCTGGCACATCGATCTCTCTCCTTTCTAATATTTATAATCGAACAGTCGTATTACATATCGCAAATAGAGAGATGTTATTTATTAAAAAGACATACTGTTACATTCGCGTCGAGATCATTATTTTATCAATTCTACTCTTTCGCGTACGATCACATTTTACGTTCTTCTGCTATTTTATTATATCTCTTATGTTATATATTGATCTCACACACTTTCATGCTAAAACTTTCTCTATTGTTTTGCGCGTTTTTTGAACGCGATTCTTTAACGCAGATTTTCTGAACAACGCGGTTTCTCGAAAAATCGTTGCAATCTCTCGCGTATACGTACAGCCCATACAGCACGCATGTCTAAAAGACGTCTTAAAGGTGTCTTTTAGACGTACGTGTTGTTAGGGCAGATTTTTTTATTCCTAATAATAAATTGGTGACAGTTTTTCAATACATATTTCTCCATGTTATTATGTTAAGGAAGCAAGTAATATCCTAAACAGATATTTTTTATTATCGTTCTAGCTCCAATGTTTTATATTTCAGTGCAGTATCACGCAGCAGCGATTAAGTGACGATGTGATGATAAAACAAAATCTCGTTTGGTTAATTACATACATGTACCTTTTCATTTACAGCTTCCATATGTTGCCAGCAGACACTGAAGAAGTAAAACATGATGCGTTTCTCAATACGTCTTATAAGGTTTTCTCGTGACCTAAATACAAGCACTTTTTACACGGTAGATACAAAATGTAATACAGAGTGCGAAAAGTCATGAAAGAAGAATTTTTCTAAAACACCAACACTTTCGACGCGGTTTTAAGAGCGACGCGATTTTTTCTAAAAAAATAATTTGTTCTTACGCGAAACGTATCCTATCGCGCAGAAAGAGAGTCGGGTGCATTATATTTTTATTCTGCAATCTGAAGGTTTTCAATGCGCTTACTATTCTTAGCTACGTTTTATTGCGTTTTGGTGTTACACATCCGCCTTTCGACGTCGATAGACGTTCGTAGCCTGTTGCTTCACTCTCGCGTTCTTCCTGAAAGCTTGCTAAGTGGTCTTGAGAAAATCGGCTGAAATTTTTTAATCGATCGAAACGACTAAGAGCGGAGAAAGTCTCCTCGCGACGGAGAGAACAATGACTATTCATCGAGCAGCAAACAGGAAGATCCTCTCCGAGCGGTCTCTCAGCACGGATGAGACTGGTGATCGGTGATTCTAGAAATCGAGGGTGAATATGAGAAAAATAGTTGTAAGAGATTCTCGAAAATGAAAGATGTTCTCCGTGCAGCTGGCGGAGTCGCGAGGAGACATCCGTGAAATATAATCGTGGCGTAATTTGATCCTGGCGTCACGCCAATAGGAATTTATCGCTATCGAAATACTGTTACAATGACTGTTAAAATGACCCACAGAATATTATTGTGCTCTATGTCTGAAAGTAAAAAGCTGTTGTACTTGTTTAATTTTATGTTTGCAAATTAAGAAATGAACTGTCATATCTCTTTAATTATCTCAACCGAGTCACATTTAATTCTAATTGCGTTTGACAGCTTCGTTCACTTCGCAATTCCAAAGAATTCTAGAACGGGATTAAGAATCGACTGACTGAGTTGCGTATTGATTCAAGTCTCGAGAGAAGCGATTTTAATGCATAAAAAAAACCGGGTACATATACGATATTCGATTTACAATACTGTTACATGCGCCATTTGACGAAGTGGCGCAAGCCACAAACTTTTCGATGACTCATCAGGACGTAGGCGAATCTTTACAGCACGAGTGTACGAGCGCGAAACATCAATTGCAAGATGGCTGTGAAATATTTAGCCGCTTCTCTGGAATTTTATAGAGTGGCTCCGCTGCGAATTCCGAGCCACTCCGGGAGATACGAGTGTAAACTCCCGAGAGTTTATATGCCCCGCTGATAAATATTTCATTGCGCAGCGTATATCGACCGGCGGCGCGCTAGATCCACGAATGTTCGGACAGAGACCTGTCCTGAACCACATTTTCCCGGAGCGCATACATGTGGTTTACATAGTACACTCCATAATTTCAATTATACAACGCCTTTTGTGAACGTTTGAAAAAAATTAGGCGGCAACAGAATCACTTTATCGCATGAAACTCGGATCATTTCGTAATAAAAGAGTAGCTGTCGATTAAATTCGTATCGTAAACAATTATCTTAATTTGAACGCAACTGGAGGGCGATTAAGTTTCGAGTGTAAGACCGATAGAAAATTAAGACTCGCATTTAGCGACCACTGGAGTCTAACTTTTATTTGTCTAATGTGCAAATCACGCCCGCTGTTATTGGCTGCATTTAGCAGTGTAAATGCACGACGGGAATACGCAGCCAAACGTTCACCCTCCGACGCGTTCTCTCTCTCCGTCTTCCTCCTCCTTTCTCTCACAGGCCGAGCACCAACCCCCGTTCACCCTCGCGAACGAGCAGGCGCGCGACGTTCGCCACGCAGGAATCAATAGGGGTTGCGTCGGGTTCGCGCGGCGTCGAAGCGACGTCGGCGACGACGTAAGCGACATCTCATCCCGTTTCCTGGGGGTTGTGACGAGCAGCTCTCCTCCAGGCCGTGACGGCCGCCCTCGGGACCGACCCCTGCCCCGATAGACCTCGCTCATCCTTCCGAACGTCGTGGCGATGGCCGACAGCGAGTTCGAGGAGTTTCGGCACTACTTCGAGAGGCTGCCTCAACACCTCAAGACACCGCTCTCCAACTACACGTGAGTGCCTTTCGCGGGCGGACTCGCCTTCGGAACAGATGATACGGCACGCGATACAATAAGGACGGCGACGGTGACACACATAGGTCGCGGCGAGAGAAACGGCGGTCGGGGATCGAAGGGCGGAGATAACTGAGACGGGAAACCGGAGGCGCGAAGCGCGGGATTCGGTCCAGGGATATATTCAGAGGCTGAACAAAAAAACAATGTATCGTCGGTCATCGTTGTCAAGCAGACTTGGCGAAACGTGCGGATTGCAATAATGCAGGCTGTAGGTAGCGGTCCACGCTGATGGGATCGGAAGTCGGTGAACGGGGCTCGTGTGTGAGAAATATCTGTACGCGACACGTTATTCCAAATAATTTTGCGAAACCGAGATTGAATTATCCGACGCTTCACTAAGTGGAGCTTGCCGTCATCTATTGTATTGACATACATAATAATTGCAAAGGATGCGCGCTGAATTCTTCAAATGTTATTTGTTTTATACGCGACGTGGTTTAATATTGTACACAGACAACCAGTGATTTTCGGAATTATACGATTATACCTCTGACATTATTAATTTCTATTAAGGTATATTCACCGAGACCTTATTACCTCATTTAAGGGATTTTCAGTTTCCTTTAAAATGTGCAAATGTAATTTATTTATGCTCTACATTTTGATGAGTATTAACACGGCACCTCCAACCGGAATGGATAGTTCGAAAAGTAGGGGCGCTGTCTGAAGATGAATCATCATCTTAATAGAAATTTCTCACGCTGCTGAGCAATTCAACGCGACGATTTCATGGTACAGTTATTTTTGCACCATCGCAAATTTCTAGTCTACAATTAGCAGTCCAGCGATTTCTTAGATAACATAGTATCAGGG